GGATTAATTTTTGCTAAATGCGAAACATTTCCCGCGGCACAGAGAATTACGATAAACAGAAAATTATTCAGGATCTTATAATTATTAGGACTTATTTTTGAAACACCAAACAACCAGGAAACATCTGGAAATATTTCAAAATATTGTAGACGACTTTTTATTAAAAATAATTATAATAAAAAGTGAAGTGGGACATCCCACCCAGTCCATGGGTGGGCCTCTCGGGACTAACAGAATGGGTCCCAACTAGGAAGCTCAGACTGTGTATATCGACAAGACCCTAACAAAGAAAACCTCCTTGATTTTGGTCAATGTAGAAAAAGGTTTCCACAGCACAAGTTTAAATTATTGCAAAATTTCTAATTAAAAACGTGAGGCTTCTTAACTGATGACATGTAAGTTTTTTTTTATTTAATGCACAGAAAAAACGAGTCTAATGGTAACACTACCAATATTACAGAGGTGAACACAAGAGTCATCTTTCACCCAGAAAATGGAAATCGAAACACTAAAGATTAATTTTTTATACATTCAGCAGGATCACTGGTGAACCAGCATGGCAGTAGGTTGGACTTAGTTCACGATGATCTGCACAAAATCTTCACAAACTACATCTAAAGCAGAAAAACGGGGTTTTAAAGCTGAAAATTGGCAGGAGAACATAAAAGACACTGAACAATGAAGTGCTAATTTTCCTTCTTTTTTTTGCTACATTTAAAACTTAAAGGCTTCCCGGAAAAGACGTACCTTTTAAATCGTTCACGTCAACCTGCTGAAAAATGTTTTTTCCCGAAAGCGAAACAGGATGAATTAGTTGCATCACAAAAACACATAAAACAGTGCTTTACTACACACACACACACACACACACACACACACACACACACACACACACACACACACACACACACACACACACACACACACACACACCTGGATGTACACAAGTTAAATTATTAGTGAAAGAAAATTACCATGGAAGACCGATTATTACTGGAAATATTGCTGTTCAAACCACAAGAGTGAGAATATTCCTACTTTATTCTGGTGGATCCGTTTTTACGGCTTCCTGTTTTATTGCATTTGTGCAGAATTTAATATAATGTGCTTTATTTTCTGTGTCAGTTTCAACAGGGATTGTGAAAACACATCATTGTTGACCATGGACGTAATTTTCACTCTGGAAGTGGGGGGGACACGGGAGGGGGGGGGGGTGTATGTTTACAGTATGGTCTAATGGGAAACAGGCTTCAACACCAACGGTTGTTTTCTGCTTGGGCCTAGAGCTCAACCAGTGTCAATTTAATATAGTGTAATATTGTTTTTGGATGGTAAAAAGTGCAGGGGTCAAAACTTGACTTTGGAAAAAGTGGGGGGGACATGCCCCCCCCCCCCCCCCCCCCCCCCCCAAATTACGTCCATGTTGTTGACTGAACATGCAACGCTTGAAGACTTGTCTGTTAGGTAAGTGATTAACTGTGTTAATAACATTTGCTTGTACAGCTCAAATTGACAGAAATGTATGGGAGTCCATTACAGCCAGTTAAAAGAAAAAAAGTGTAACTTCATTATATATTAAAAATTTTCAAAATAACATTTAAATCTTTAAACATATCAGTTCTGTTTAAGACAAAGGACTTTGTTAGAAATAGTTATGACTTACTCTAAAGTTTTAAAGTCATTATTTAGAGATACAAAATCATAATTATAAGTTTTTATTATGAGAAAAAAAATATGGATTTTAAAGCCATCATGACTTTAAAAAGTAAAATTGATTCAAAATCATAATGAGATAAAGTTAGAGTTATAAGGTGGAAAGTTATGAGATCAGGGTATCTGCAGGTTTAAGGGAGCCAAATTTAAGACTTTTTAAGACCTTTTTTAAGGCCACTTTGTCCAAATTTAAGCTATTTTTTAAAATTAAATTTAACCTATAATTTCCATCTATTGCCTGGAACCGGAGCTAACCACGCCGCAAACGTGGGATTAGCCATCCAGTTATCATTAAACTTTCACTTCCCCATGGTGCAAGCTCCCACTAGCTTAACCAGCTAATGTGCTCATCTAAAAATAGCCCCCTTTCACAAACAACTGAATGTGTACAGTTCCGCTTACGCCAACATCACACACAAAAAATGCTGAACACTAACTAGAAATAAACGAAAATGTTCTAGAAATCAAAGAATCTTGTTTATTGGGTTTTTTGGTAATTTATGACCTTTGGAAACTGTATTTAACCCTTTGATGCATAATGGTCACTATAGTGGACAGGTACTCAAAATTGTTATTTATTTATTTTTGCTATTAAGCACAGCTGTTGAAGACTTTATTGCATTTGAGCCCCTCTATTTGTAAGTCAAGCAGACATATTTCATGTTCAGAATGCACGCTGTCCACTGAGGTGGACATGTAATAAACCATGTGTAAATTAAATGTTACAAAAAATGTGTAAATATGAAATTTGTTCCATTCACACCTAAAGATGAATGAAAAAATGTGTTTAAAAAACCATGGTTGAAGATTTCATAATTCATGCAACAAAGGTTAAAGGATTATTTGTAATTTTTAAGGATTTTTAAGGCCTTAAATTTGGAAAAGCAAATTTAAGACTTTTTAAGGACCCACAGATACCCTGGAGATAAAGAATTAATTCTTTTTTTAAAACTCTTAATTTTAAGATGCCGTCACAAGAGACAAAACATTATGACAAAAAAATGTGACTTTAAAAGATGTGTGATTATGAAATTCTAAATAATTTAAGTGGGAATATTTTTATTGGAAGAAGGTAATTAGCACAACAAGTCATAATTATGAGATAACCCTAACCCAAAGTGAAGAAATACATTTTCATTACCTTAAAACACAAGTTTGAATTTTAGAAATGAGTTTTTGTTCATTTTGAGCTCCACAGCCATGACATGCAAAGTCGTACTTCCAAAAAGTCATAACTATGAAATGCCGTCCTAACCTTTGACTGTATGAAAAGTGAACAGACCCTCCATGCTGTCTCCTGTAGGTTCCTGAGGAGCTGAATTGGGCGGTTCCCACCACCGCCATATTGGCCGTATCACGTGTCTCGTCACTCCCAGAAAATACAAAAATGGAGCTGAGAGCGGGGCTTTGAGGGTGGGGGCAAATGTTTGACAATTATCAAACTGTGAGACGATGAAGCTGCAAGCTAGCTAACCAAAGCTAACGGACGTTGGCGGGCGCTTTAGTCAAAAACAGTGATTGAGTGACTCAGCTGAGGCCTGTACCCTGGAGCCAGCAGAGGGTAAGCCGCTAGCGCTAACGCTGACAGCTCTTCAGACACCCGTCAACCAAAAGGACACAACTTTACATATATGACTCTAAAACTAAGGACTTTACATCCATACAAAAAAGGTGTTGCAGTTTTTTTCCTTTATCTGGCAGTTGGGTTTACACTGGCAATGTCTTTAGTCACAAATACTAAATAGGTACTAAAAAGTAAAGATTTTTCTTTTAATGATTGCGCTTCATCAAACGCCGCCCAGCCAAAACAAGAAAGTTGCTTAAGGTGTAAAGCGGTAAGAGCCTCCTATTGGACATTTACTGCACGGGCAGTTTTTAGCTGGCAACAAGTTATTTAACCCCAACTGGTGCAGAGTTCATTCTCTTTCCTTAAACAACCATGTTGACTGTTTTTTTGGGGCTGGGCGGTGTTTATTAACGATTTAATGACATGGCCTCTTTTCACAGTGATATGCAGCTAGTGTGTTAGTAACACCTGGACTCAGTTTTACTAAAGAACTTATATTTTTGTGCTATAAAGTCACTTATTTCCCTTTTTAGAAATTCCTCAAAGGTTTCTAAATTAGACGCACAAGAACCAGAAGTCCAAAATCAAATCTCCTAACATGTTGTGCCAACATGAAAACAATACCATCAGAAACACTGCTTATAAACCGGAGGGCTGCAGGTTTGCATCCCACTCATTCTGTCGAAGCCGTGTCCTTGGGCAAGACACCTAAACCTTCTGGCCTGCTAGTGGTGGTCGGAGGGACCGGTGGCGCCAGCGTATGGCAGCCTCGCCGCTGTCAGTGCGCCCCAGGGCAGCTGTGACTGCAATATAGCTCATCACCACCAGAGAGTGAATGTTTGTGAGTGAGTGAATAACTGATGTGTTGTAAAGTGCTCTGAAGGGTTGTTAAAGACTCCAGAAGGCGCAGTATAAAAACTGGTAATTTTATGTCCAAATTCTAATCGGCAGCCTCGAGATGATAAATGATGTACTTTTGTTGTTGTTATAGTTATTATCAGAAGGTTTTTATTTAACCCTCCCACTGTCCTACTGGGTGACCCCACGAGGAAAGTTGACCACTGAGCAGGATTGATGGTTTATCCCTTGAGGTCCATGTGGCAGGGGTGAGGTGGTGCTCACTCCTCACCCCTGCCACATAGACCCAAGGGATAAACCATCAATCCTGCTCAATGGTCAACTTTCCTCGCGGGGTCACCCTCATTAAGGTTGGTTTATGCTTGACGCGTCCGCGAGGTCCGCACGGCTCCGCGCGGAAAAGTTGCGTAATTTTAACAACCACGCCCCTCCACCGCGCCTCCGCACAGCCCAAACTTTCCGCACCGCACACCTAGGAAATTTTCTAACCACGTGGACCGTCGGACGTGGAAAAACATGGCGGACTGGCAAGAACTAGTATGGCAGAGGTTCTTAAATACAGACATTTGTATGATTCAGCTCTCAGAGATCACCGTGATCAACATGTTGTTAATAATTCTTGGAGAGAAATAGCTCGCACTGTCGGAAAAGACGAGGACGCTGTTAAAAATGCTGGAATGCCATGTTGTAAACAGTAATTTTTACTTCTACTATGGTGTAGTGTTGGATGCATGCCGTAGAGCTCCATGCTGCCCCCTACAGTTTGGGAGAATATTGGCTCACCGCAGAGACAAGCTGCATGAACCATAAACGCTGCGAGTTGTGAAGCGCGTTCCATCCGCGAGCCGCACCACCAAGCAGAAAGTAGATGCGTCAAGCATAAACCAACACACAGTTGTTTTTTTTTTGTTGATGACTTTTTTCTCTTGCTTAAGCCAACAACCCAGGACTGCAACTGTTGGTGATTATTTGGAGACACACCTGACAGAAGGCATGCTAATATTCAGCTGAGCTGTGTTTGATGACTAATTTAACTGTTTTGTCACAAAATATCTTAACTGTGTCTGAATTAGTTGCAATTTTGTCACCGACTCCTCCCAGAGTTCTCCTCCATTTCATATGGATTCTGAATCCTCGTAACTAAACAGAGAAGGGTCCCAGATGTCCACAACAACTAGCAGATTTCAGAGGATGTAGGTCTTGCAAAATTTCTTCAAATGTTTCAATATTACAGCACCACAAAGGAGAGTCTCGCAACTCATACAAGGCTAGTGTCTTTAACTGAAGCTTGTATCTCAGTGGCGGCCATGTTTAAAAACTGAGCAAATTGCTCAATGTGTCAAACACACTTTCCTCTTTTGTGCTTTCTGGATCATGTGGACTAAACTGAAAATGGTTCCAGACACCTGGGGTAACTCTGACTGACTACCCAGGATTTCCACTGGATGCAGAAGTGGTGCATTAAGTAATAGACCCGTTTTACCGGCAAACTCTTCCCACCGGGAGAGTTTCAGACGCGAAACGGCATTTGAAGCATTCCATACAGTGGGTCCCGTGAGGGCATGAAATCACGGAAGAATTGTAGGATCACACGTGATTTCAGCGATTCACATGAGAAACACAGCAGCATGTATTCAAAAAGGTTGGTTTTCTGTTCTGTTTACCTCCGCTGAAGCCACAAATCCCAAATGAGCTAAAACGTAAAAAACGTGGGTGCAGAGCGGGAGCGGGACGGAGACAGAGAAAGAGGAAATTCAAACCATTTCTTCCATCGATCGTAAGGGGCAATGTGAGATCACAAGCCAACAAGATGGAGGAACTCCAAGCCCTTTCAAGGACTCAGCCAGAGTTTCGGCAGTTTCGGAACCGCTGGAGGAGATAATGCAAAGAAGGATTCTCCAGAGAATCAAGAAAATGATGGACAACCCTGAGCGTTCTCTTCACAAGACTGTCCGACAACGGAAGAGTGTCTTCAGTCAGAGGCTTCTTCAGTTTGGCTGCAACACTGACCGCTACTGGAGATCCTTCCTGCCAACAGCCATTGTAATATACAACAACTCTTTGATGACTTGATTATTATTATTATTCTGAGCTACTACAGCAATCAATTTCCCTCTGGGATTAATAAAGTATTTTTGAATAGAATTGAATTGAATTGTGCTTCACATCCGGTGGAAACGTACCCATTCACTCTAGTGGCGGTTAATTGCTGCGTACTACACTTTGCGAATGTTACATATGCATCCAGTGGAAAGGCTCAGTCACTGGACAGCAAGAAAAATCCAGAAAATTCGATTGTGGTTTTCTAATGGTAAAGCATCAAAACCTATGGCAGCAGGTCTCCTGAATAGAATTACAGACTTTTAAGTGAACATAGAAGGACTCAGACTACGGTTTGTAGTGTCACAATCCCAGCGTTGCAGTGGGTAAAGTTGGCATCGCAGCACTCATCTGAGAAACATTCAGTTGCTAAACAATCTAAAAGCTATTTCTTGGTAACTTTATGCAAAATGTGTCCACACACACAAGGAAACATTCATATTCATGCAAGAAAAAAGAAACTACGAATAAAATCTTGTGGAAAATGGCAGTTTTCTACACTTTTTTACGTTTAAAATGCACCCGGTTCAGTGTCGGGCTTGGTCACACGACAAGCTCAGGAGTTTTGAGGCATGATGATTTCCCACTAAGATGTGAGCACTGAGATTTAGGACAGCTTCTTGTTTAGTTCACAGCAGGCTTTTAAGGTGAGTATAGGTGTCCATCCTGTGAACTCATCAAATTCTCCACTAACACACAGATCTTGTTTCACGACGGTCGGCAGTGAGAAGGCACCCTCTTTAACGCCAACACGGGGAGCTGTGAAGCTTGCTGTGAAGAATCTTGCTGGTGTTGTTCAGATTTAGGAAAATGAGACAACAAGGTACATAAAGCTGTGTTTGAGCAGTTGCGTCCCGCGCTGTAGACGCTTTTCAGTGCCTTGACTTAGCTTAGGGTTTCATTGGCAAAGTCGTGAAATCACAGAACAACAACGATGCCTTTGTGGACCGGGAGGAAGAGTGAGAAAAAGTGAAGTGTTGCTTTTGATGTCTGCAGTGAAGTAAGCTCTAGCTTCTTTTTGTCAGAGGTCTACCTTCCCGAACGTGTTTGGTACTCCTCTTTTCCGCCGTCCCTTTTTCTCTCACCTTCCTCAGTCGCCGAGGGGGAGGTGTCCCTCTTGACTCGCTGTCCTCTTGAGCGCTGGATGTATCCAATCCATCCCTCTCTTCAGGAATATTGGGAATAGCCCCGCTGCTCCCATCTAAAATGTTCCTCAAGGACGGGTCCTCTGGTGTACAGGTAGCGGTGGTACCGCTCTCACTGCTACTCAGGTCCTGCTCCTCACCGTACCTCCCGCCTCTGCTGTGGTGCGGGAAGGAGGAGCCCCTGATCAAAGGCCTTTCTCGCTCCGAATCACGGATGTTCTGCTGGGGCTCGTTCATGTCAACGCCAGAGTCCAAGCTGGTGTCGTTGCTGCTTGGTGGGCGGTGGCGGCCCTGGAGCTCAATGATGGAGTGTCGAACCTGAGCGACTGGTTTCCCATCCAGAGAGACGAACCAGGCCCTGGGGTGCGACGATGAGGACTTGCCTCGTGTCAGCTCCAGTAGGGTGCGCTCAGAAATCCCCTGCAGCTCACTGGTGTGCCCGCCACCAAAGGCCTCCATGCCAGCAGCCTCGTTGAGAGTCCCAGGCACAGAGACGGAGGATTCCAGAAGGTTGCTGTAGCGTCCCCACACACTGGCACTCGGACCTTGTCCTGGTGGCGGAGTCTCCAGAGGCTGGGGGTCATCCTCATTGCTCTGCTGGGTACCACTTCCACCTTGGGAGTGATGGTGAGGAACCTTCGGCAGTGTCTGGGTGTAGTTGTCCTTATTAGCAGGCTCTGAATGAACATCATACTCCGTTGTGTTCCTTGGGAATGTGTTGGACTTGCAGCCCGACAGCTGCTGCTCCTGACCTCCGAACAACTCTGGAGCCTGAATAATTGCCAACGGCTGGTTGTAGATGTGAACGAGCTTATCTTGAAAGTAGTTCTCGGAATTCATGTTTGCCCGATTCTGCTCCGCCTTGTCTCGTATTCGAGCCGCCTCCTCGCTGTTGATGTAGTGAGGTGGGTGCTGCGATCCTTTCATCCGATCTCCAGCGATGTTCTCATAAGGAGGAGCTGTAGTGAGACTCCCTGGGTCTTCCACGTAGATGTTGTAGTTGGCTTTGCGCCTCACTGTGGACGACGAGTCACATGAGACGTTGCACGAGGCGAGGCTGTTGTCTCCAGACCGGAACAGCAGACCCTCCTCCATGTGGGTGGAGGTTGTTTGGTCTTTCTTCACAACTGTGAGTTTGGAGAAGCGTGGCCGCCTCCTCCTGGGCTCTCGATAGGAACCCCTAGATGAGGAAACACCAAACTTCATGAGGACAAGAACATTTGTTTATCTTCAGCAACCTTTTTAATGACATTTCAGACACCTGTGCATCATTCCTTGGTGACAGGTCTTATACCTACCCGCAGTGACACAAAAGCAGTGACAGAAATCCAATCACGATGACCAGAGTTCCTCCCAGTATGCCCATCAGGAGGTAGGTGTGGTACGAGATGAAATCCATGGAGCTGGCATGTCCGAGATAATCTAAAACATAAAAGATTTGCATCATGTCTCAATCCATTACAGACAGCTTTTAACAGTGAAGGTACCTTTTGAAGAAGGATGGGGGGCAGCAATCCAGTATCCCAGATGGGAGGCGGTGTAAGTCCAGACCAGTTCATCACCAACCGCTTGAACTATTCCCAGGCCATGATTCTCCCAGGCACCTTCAGACAGCATCAGTTAGTATTCACTAGGGATGAGCGAGTACACCACTATCTGTATCTGTTCAACCATCTAAATTATCTGTATATGTATCTGTACTCGGAGTGGGCGTGGCCTAACCCAAAAGTGGGTGTGGTTTAACCGGAAGTGGGTGTGGTTTACATCAATACGTTATTTTAAGTCTGATCAGAAGTTGCTATGTGTGTTGTTTATCTGAAAACTATTTACAGAGCAGCCTCAAAGTTGAGATGAAATGTTTTTGATCACAATAGTAAAGGAACTATTACAGAACAAGTTTTTCATTAAAATCAGAACATTAATATTTAAGTGCATGAATTAAGAGAGAGAGAGAAGAAAAGATCTTTTCTATAGCGCCTCTCAAGATAAAAATCACGGGGCGCTTCACAAAAACAAAACATGTAAAACAGAAAAAAGAATTTAGAAAATGATTAAAATATATTTAAAATGAGCAAAAAATAGACAATTGTGATTAAAAAATGTAAAGAAAGAGAGAGAGTGAATAGGAAAGAGGGAGTGGATCCTGAGGAAGAGGAGAGAGAGAGAGAGGAAATAAAAACCCGACCGGAGCGGAGGCAGTGACTGACGCAGCACGAGCCGTTTTCAGCTCTGTCTTTCCAAATGCACCACGTACGTTACGAAAAAGTAACTTTAAAGTAACTTTAAAGTTACTTTAAAAAGAAGCGAACTGAAGAAACGTGAACAGTGAAGCAAGCACAGAGATATCCGTTACTGTGTGTCTGTGTGTCTGTGTCTGTGTGTCTGTGTCTGTGTGTGTGTGTGTGTGTGTGTGTGTGTGTGTGTGTGTGTGTGTGTGTGTGTGTGTGTGTGTGTGTGTGTGTGTGTGTGTGTGTGTGTGTGTGTGTGTGTGTGTGTGTGTGTGTGTGGATGGACCGGACGCGGACTGAGCTCCTGGCTGCAGAGTTTTGTGTGTAGGGAGGGGCGGGCGCTCTATGTGACTGACCAATCACAGAGCGTGAAGACAGTCAGTTACCCAATGAGGATTTTCCTTCAGCACGATTACAGATATTTACGAGTTTTACTCGTTTCATGCTCGTACTCGTCAAAAATGCTTTATCCGTACCGGATACGGCTCATCCCTAGTAAACACACATATCGGCTGTTTATTGTAAGATCCGGTCGCTCCCACCTGTTTTGAGGTTGAAGGCCCAGGCTGGTACCGTATCGGAGGCCCTCAGGTGTGTGTCGAGCCCCAGAGGCAGGCTGATCTGGATGGGCCCCCGGACCTGGAGCTCCTCACCACCAGAGCGCAGCAGGACGCTGACAGCCGCCACCGCCTTCAGCTCGATGTTCCTAAGCACTGAAAAACATTGTAAAGATGAATTTTACCTTTTTACTATTGGCTGGATGAGGAATAAGTCTTGATAAAATTTCCTTTTTTTATGCATCCACATCTTCCTCGGTCGCACGCCTACAGCTGGTGCAGAATGCGGCGGCCCGCCTTTTGACGGACACCAGAAGGAGGGAGCACATTACTCCTGTTCTTACCCAGCTGCACTGGCTCCCGGTGCGCTGCCGCATCCAGTTTAAAATGTTACTTCTTGTTTTTAAGTCACTCTATCTTTGTGCGCCTCTGTACTTGACTCAGCTGGTTCCGCCCTACATGCCTGGTCGAATTCTTCGATCAGCAGACCACCGCCTGTTACAGGTCCCAAGTGTTCGGGTGAGGACACGAGGAGAACGAGCGTTCTCAATCTGTGCACCTCGTCTCTGGAACCACCCCCCTCTAGCAGTGAGAATGGCCCCCTGTCCCTCTGATTTTAAATCACGTCTGAAGGCTCATTTTTATTCCTTGGCTTTTACTTCAGCATAGTTAGCATTGTAATATGTCTCTGTTTTATTTTTATTGTAGATTTTATAGTAGTTACTGTACTACTTCTATTACTTTCTTCCCGTGTGTTGATTTTTATGCTCTTTTATTGTGCAGCACTTTGGTTGGCCTCGGCCGTGTAGAAATGTGCTTCATAAATAAAACGGAATGGAATAAAATCCATGAGCTCACCTGATTTGCTGCTGATAACGCCTGGAGTGCAGTTAGCACAGTCCTTCTCCAGGTGGTGCTGTGGAACTGTCAGATACGCCATCAGTGAAGAGATGTTGCCGTTATCAGCGAGGGCGAGGAGGTTCTTGGGAAATTTGACCTTTGGATGGGAGGAGCCGTCTGTGTGAACAAGGGGGGGTCCAGTGTTTTAGCTCAGCTGTTGTTTCGTGTCTGAGAAGAAGGTGAACTTACCAGGTAGTTTCCCAGTGATGAGCACAGAGTCTTCAAACAGCCAGATGTTGCCTTGACTGTGAGGGAGCAGCAGCATCGTCACAGCAGAGAAAACTGTTGGAGCAAATTCACCAAAGGTCTGTCAGAATCCACTTTGGTGGAGCTCTCTCTGGTGTACCATACCATGCTGCAGAAAAAGCCTTTGCTCCCATGCATATTCCATTAGTTTTAGCCTTTGTGTCCATAAAAATTCCGGCAATATTTCCTGCCTAAAGTCTTTTTGGGTTCAATTAAATGTTTTCATGTTCCTCTTAGATCTGTACAATCCCTCCATGCAGCTGTTTTGGAAGGCATCCGTGACTAATGCCATGTTAGGGTCTGACTACTTCTTTTCTACGTGTTTTTTTTTTTCTTACTTCTTGCTTCACAGCTCATCGCTGCAGCGGGGTGGTGCCGCTCCAAGGGAATAAGACATTTTTCTGTGCCCGGTGTCATGGTCTGTGTCTGCGTCTCCCTCATGTGTCTCCTTGCCCCCTTCAGACAGGCCATGAAAAACGGAAATGTTCCGGAATCTGTCCGTAAGACCTTTCTGTCTGAATACAAACATCCGGATAACGTGTTCTGGAATTTATGCGGACGAAGCCCCTATAACAGGTCCGGACTTGTTACGGAGAGGGTGGCTGCTTCAGACTGGTGAGGTAAAGTTCCGGACAAGAGGGAGGGGGAGGAGGAGGGGACCGGGGGACGCTAGATAGCCCGCTGCTGTAGCATGCGGCGAACCACGGCAGCTCGCCTCCTACGGTACCGTCTAGACGCGCGACGGAGCGCTTCACACCGCTTCAGTGATTCCTTTAACCATTGAGCTTCATCATCCAGGTCTCTTATGCGTCTTCGTGTGCGCAGAATTATGCTTAAGCGCCTCGTGATTTTTATCTTGAGAGGCGCTATAGAAATGATATTTTCTTCTTCTTCTTCTTCTTAACATAAGTCCGATTCCCCCCCCACCCCACCCCCACCCCCCGCCGCCGTCAGACATCTGGAACTTTTCCCTGCTGTGTGAACGCAGCCGAAAGGACAAGTTCCAGTACAAAAGTGGTGTGTCTGAAAACACAGTTCCGGTTAAAAACCGGATTGAATTGTCCGCAAATGTTCCAGAATGTCTATCTGAAAAGGGCTAAGTGTTCTCCATCCCTCTCTAGTTTCTCCTTATGTGTTTCCTAGCGTCCTCATGTGTCCTTGTCTGCATCTTCCTCATGTGTCTCCTGATCTGCAGCCCCTCTAGGTTTTCCCCCTCCCCAGGTATCCCCCCAGGTCTGTCGCTCCCGTGGTCTCCCTTAGTCACACCTCTGTAGTTTTTCTTTCTGTAGTTTTTTCCTATATGTTCAGCTTTTCATTTATTAGTCTCATTTAGTGTTTCTTTCTCCACTGGTTTTTTAGTTCTCCTCAGATCATTAGTTGTTTATCTTCTTGTCTTCAGGTTTTGTTTTTACTCTTAGGTCAAGTTAGGCCCTGTCCACACCTAGCCGGGGATCTGCCAAAACGTAGATATTTTTCTACGTTTTGGCCTGTCATCCACACGAAAACGGAGTTTTTTCACACGAAAACGGATCTTTTTAAAAACTCCGGCCAAAGTGAAGATCTGCGTTTTCTCCGTTTTGGGTGTCTGCGTGTGGACAGACAAAACCGGAGTTTTAAGGTCCGCAACGTCACTTTCCGCGACAAAAAAATGCTGACATCACGTGTGCGACCTGTGTTTACACTAGCCGACAGCATGGATGCCCTCAGAGCTGCGCTCGCTTTATCAATCGTCCAAGCGCTTTTTGCTTGTTTGTTTTTGCAAGCGGAATTACTGCTCCTTGCGGAAGACCACAGACGAAGGACGAGGTTAAGAACGGGGGAAGTACTGCCGCCTACAGGTCTGGCATGTCCTTAACAACGTATTTATCCGGGTACGTGTGGACAGAGTTTTTTTTTTAAAGAGGTGGTGTGGATGCAAGTTTTTGGAGGGGCGGATATTTGTTTAAAAAAAACGGCTACGTGTGGATAGGCCTCAGTCACACATCTGTAGTTTTTTCTATATGTCCAGCTTTTCATTTATTAGTCTCATTTAGTGTTTCTTTCTCCACTGGTTTTTTAGCTCTACTCAGATCATTAGTTGTTTATCTTAATCTTCTTGTCTGCAGGTTCTGTTTTTACTCTTAGGTCGAGTTACTCTCCTCTCACTGATTAGTTAATTGATCTCACTAGGTTTCTCTCCCTACACGCCTGCAGCTCATCTCCCTCTCATCCTGCCCCAGTGTATTTAACCCTGTCTGCGTCTCAGTATGTTGTTGGTTCATTGTTTGTGTCAACCTCGTCTCATCCCTCTCTCTAGCTTTTAGTATCTCCAGGTCTCTTGTGTTTTTGGATGCTCTAGGTTTAGGTATTAGTATTTTTGGGGTTTGTTTTTGGCGCCCTGCATTCTCTGGATTTACTCCTTAATAAAGGATTATTATGTTTTTCCACCTCCTGCCTCATTATCTGGTTCTAAATCTTGGTTCCTAACCTCTCTCCAAAACCACCTCGTGACACCCGGAGCCTGGATTTCCATCATAAACAGATTTATGGATATGTAGAATATTCATAACGTAGTTAGCTTTGTGCCTTTATGGCAGAAAGTGGGTGTGTAGGAGGCAGGGTGTGATCCAGAAACACCTGAGCGCATTTACAGGACAAGTTGGATTTATAAAGCAGAAACTGTGTGCAGCCGTGCGTAAGTAAAGTTTCATAGGTTGGAAAATTTGCCTACGTTTTTTTTATTTAATTTTATTTATTTATTTATTTATTTTGCTTGGCTTGAGTAGCTTTTTGGTAAGGATTCTACTCAAAGTTTTATAAATCTATAATCAGCTGAAGTAGTGGGGACTAATTTAAGCTGCTTGCTACTTGTTGGGTAACATGCATGTCTGCAAAGCCACCAGCAGAGGGCGCCCTGATGATCAACTCTTTCTTATTCGGAGCAGCAGCGCAAATGGCAAAAGGAGAAAAAAACAGTAGAGCTTGTTCTCATCCTTCAAAGCACCTGCTCCACCACCTCCCTGCTGCTCCCTCATGTCAGAGCCACTGGAGGAGAGGGACAATAGAGCAGGCCTTCTTTGTGACAGCCCCCACACCCTCACCCACCCTCCTGAGCAGGACAAAGACTGTTTACATCCTCACTCTGCTGCAGAATCAGTTAATAAAACCACGGGAGGACGCAGCGAAGCTGTGAGATAAGATCACAGATGCTTCATTCACACAAAGTCACTAATGCCCTTGTGCTGACTTTTCAAACTGTGGCGTTTTTGAGTGCAAAGAGACCCTTTAGGCTGCATCACTGCATGCAGTTACTCAAAATGGTGTTTCAGTTTCAGGCTAAAAAACTAACCAAAAAAACAGTGATATTTTTCCATAAAGTACTACTTACAGGCACCAACACTTTGGAAAACGTAAATAAAAATGAATTGTGTCCTTGTTTGGACACGTGGGCTCCCGTAGCAGCCCTTCTCTGCTCTTATAGCAGGGCTAACAATGATGCTGGGTTTAATTCATTGTATGGATGTGACACACACACACACACACACACACACACACACACACACACACATTTTTCTTGATAATTATGTTATCTCATGGTAGTTTAAACTGATTCTGTTCAGATATAAATTAACATCGGTCTCTAATTCTAATAAGTTATTCTAATAAGTTAAAATCACCACTAAACCACTCAGCTAATACAGCTAATGCCGATGTGCACTGGCAGCTTCCTTAAAATGTGCTTAAAAAAACATAGAAACAAAAGTCCTAACCGTGGTTTTTGGGCCCGATGCCGATTATAGATCGTCTTACAGCTCTAGCCAGCTGGTACGGATTTTGTCAGAATACCTTAAAGACAACAACCCTGTTGAAGCTTTGCTATGGTGAGTTCATTTACCGGAAAAACATGTTGGAGTTTAAATCGACGCTTCAGGTGATGTTTTTTGTTTACCAAATAGGATTTCTACTTAGTTCTTGTTATGAGCTAGCCAGTGCTACGTTCTTAAAACGAAACTGAAGAGACTCTTAATTTTTAATTAAGCTGGGGTTTCAGCTAAAAAACCATTAGTTAGATCATTAAGAAAGACTGAAAATAAGAGAGACCCCAGGGAAGAGCCTTGAGGAATGCCTCTCACAACTCCCCGCTGTCTAGGCTGGAACCGTTAAAAGCAACACGTTGAGAATGGTTATGAAAAAATGATGGATGATGATATCCGGGATATGTTGGGTCACTCACTTGGCCTCTTGCTGGTGCTCCAGGGCAGAGGAGTGGGCACGTATCCTTCCTTATGACCCAGCAGAGTCAGACTGAGACCTGGACTGTACGAAACCCAGAGCAGAACCTCTCCAATTTCTCCAGCTTGGGCTGAACCTGTCAAGGTGTGGTTCATGTAAACATCCACCGAGGCCCCGGACAGCGCCTGTCGGGTCACCAGATCTCTCAGGAGAACCTTCAGGGCAAACTGGGGCTCTGAGGGGGAGAGAGGATTACGATGTGGGCTGAACACGTGTCTCTGCACGCAGCTGCGCTGGCTAACCTTTCTCCGTCCATGAAAAAGTGATGAGCCAAGCACAGCTGAGCTGCTGGGAGGATGGAGAATTACATCAACGCAGCAGCATCTGCGGCTGATTCTGACTTTAAACAACAAACTGGGCTCTTTGTTTTTAATCTAGAGGCTCAAAATCTCAGATTATACTCTCAGGGTGAAATCTAAAAGCACACTAATCCCTGAAACCTCCACATAGCTCAATCCTGTTATTGTTTAAGGTTCGTTACCATAATTTCACTTTACTCCCTGCAGCTTTGTTCATGTTTAGGTTATTTGTCCTTTTTTTTTTCAAATAAAAACAAACAGTCTTGGTATGAGACTATTTCCGTTTTCCGGAACAATGACCCAAACGGTCTGTTTACCTGCAGTCGGAACCCGTCCTGAACCGACCGTGAGGCCATTGTTCCCGGGTGAGGAAGAGGCGGATGACGGGGAGGAGGAGGCCAGGGCGCCGCCCTCCTCCACCGCTCCTACCGGCCCTTCCAGGCCGGAGATGAGAAGCCACGACGGCAGGAAGAGGAGCAGCAGCGGCAGGCGTCGATCAGCGGCGGGCATGGCGGCGGGAGGCTCAAAGACATAACGAGGGGCGAGAGAAGAGATCCAGCAGAAGGGCTAGCTGTGTTTGTCCGCGTCACGGGGCCCTCGTCCCGGTCCTGGCGGCTGTGATGGAGGGGAAGCACCCCGTGTAGAAAAGATGCGCTGGTACTGAGGCTGGGCGTGTGGCCCAAGATCGTTTACGTTCAAAGAATGCGTCACTCTCGGAGAACGAAACCACACCAAACACACACACTATGGTGGCTGTTGAAGGACAAACACGCTGACTGATGTATGCAGGTTATTCCACTCGTTTTAACATAAACATTTTGTAAACATCCACGTTAAAAAGGAACCGTTGCACCGTCGCGACTGATTTTAGTAAACGTAGTGAGACATCTGTCTCTGTGCAACATCTTTGGTGAGCTGGAAGAAGTGTTACGTCATTGATGACTGACGCTCTATCATTCTAAAAGAAAGTTTGTGACTTTAACGCCAATTTAATTGGATTTAATGCGATTTTTAAACCTTTTAACTTCCAGACTTCAAGGTAGCTTAACTGTTGCAGACAAATCAAGAATATGAGTGCAAACAATGACGTTTGGATTTGTTTGCGCTCATTTATGATTTCTTCTGAGATTTGTAGCAAACTTGTATGGATACAAGCTTTATTTGTATGATTTTAAATGCAAAAATAAACCCAAAGGTTTGCTTAAGAGTTAAAAGAATCAGTGCAATTAAGAAGCAATAATCAAGGAAAAAACAAATGTGTCAAAGAAAATAACAACTCTGTAAAACTTAAACAAGATGAATAAAGCAAATACGATTAAAGTTAGCATAAGTCAGTGAATGTGCAACAGTATTTATTGAAATTCCACCAATCAAATGATCCCTGGGAGAGGCTCCACCCCTTCCTGTATAAATGTGACTGGAATCCCTTTGCTTCCGGTTTGATTATCTTACCTGAACTGGTGTGATGTAATCAGATCCAGCTGACAGAATTTGGAGCTAAAATGTTGAATGAAGAAGAGAAATTTTAGACGTTGCTGAAGGAGGAGCATGTTACTGGAAACTAGAAGTCAGAGGATTCAGGTCTTGTTTTCATCCTCCAAACCCAGAGCTCACCAGTTAGAGCTTTTCTGTTTAATAGCCTTCTCTTTGGGTGTTGGACTTCAAAAGGCATCCAGCTTTAACCCAACGTATCGCATCATTCTACTGAAACACCTATATAAGTTTATGTTCATGTCCATGTGTGTGTGTGTGTGTGTGTGTCGGTTTTGCCTAATTATGTACAAGCAGTCTGAATTATTTTCACATAATGTTCACCAGCTGTCTCTCACTGATCGGTGAACTTCATCCAACAGACTCACTGATATCACTACCCAACCAGCATGCACAGGTGGGCTCCAAATGGATATATATGGGCAAACCTGGGACAAGTGATACAAGTGAAATGAATTTAAATAAGTTACAAGTGGCACAAAATAAAGCAGCACGAATTGTTCTGGGTTGTAATTATAGAACAAATGTTAGTATGATGCACGATAGGTTGGCCTGGTTAACAGTGAAATGTAGATTAAAATATTCACTGATCACATTTATAAGACATATAACTACAAAAATACCTAAAATAATTTATGACAAATTATCATTTTTTTCAGACAATCATGATTACACGACGAGACAGACAAGTGACATAAGGTGTGCACTACCGCGCTGCAGAACTAATCAAAGGCAAAGAGCAGTTTATTACAGAGCCATGGTTGCATGGAATGCCATACCGAGATTTTTGTTATTAGAGAACAACAGAAGATGTTTTCAAAAGAAGTTAAAGCTTTTTTTGTTTACACAACAGTAAATTTTGCACAGTGAATTGTAAATGTGACTGATATGACAGCTTCTATAATTTTTGTTTGTTATGGATGTGATGCGATATGATTTTTGATTCTTGAATATAGTTATTTATTGTCTGTGTAAACTCTCCGTTTTCACCTATTTAGATTTTTCATGAACTCTGAAGTGTGTGGTAACTTACTGGTATATCATTATAGCAATTGAGGTGGTACGATTATAATGAGCTCCTGGAGTTTGTTGTTGTTGGGGGGGGGGGGGGGGGGGGGGGGGATGGGGATGGGGGTGTTTTGTAAAGTATTTGTAATGAAATTGAAAGAGACCTCAGGAAGAATAGCTCCACACTATGGTGTGAGCTAATGAGGTTCTCAATAAATAAATAAATAAATAAAAATTAAAAAAAATAAATAAACCATATGGGTGCCAACAGGGTTTGTTCGTGGTTTCCATGATGGTCCCCGTTATGGAAATTTTATATTTCATTGCTTTAATCCTATTTACAAATGTCCTGAAGCATTCTCACACTCAGACACACACACACACACACACAATCTCTCTCTCTCCCTCTGACTCCCTCTCTCTATAAACAAACTGTGACCGGATGTTCGCGGCATTTTGCCTCAGTTATAACTGTTGGACTTGTTCATCGTCTCCTCTCTTCACTACAGGAAATGGGTTATTGATAAACATATATTTGAGAAACATGAACATTTCAGAAAAATCTATTTAAGTCATTTGAAATTTAATTAGAGAGTTTTTGATGTTTAATTCACTTGTCTTCACAAAATCTTTGGAGATGGAAACCTTTTCAATGGTGAGCAGCTTCCTCTGAGGAAGGAGCCAGTGAGAACCGAAACTGTCAGTGAAGACAAGGCAAAACAACAAACTTTGCTAGTCGGTGTAATATTAAGAACACGACAACAATGGATTTTATTATGGGTAAGATGATGACCTATAATACTGACAAGTATAAGTATACACAGAAAAGAAATAAAACTTTGATCTCGGTTTTACAAAAAGGTAAATATTTATTCATGTGCAGATATACTCAGACATATGATGCCACATTAAAAAAACACACAGTTTAAATGATAGTATTCAACTCAATGAGGTCAGTGTGAAACATGATGTAAGCGCTCTCCCTGAGCATGCCTTTAGTACAAACTCCTATCCATGCAGCTACATTCACTTACTGCGTTTCTAAACACGTTGCTCAAATATACATTCAACTAAACTCAAAAAGGTTAAATATGTCTTTAAAGATCTCAAGAATTACAATCTTTTTTTTACTCAAAGGAGATTTTCTCACATATCAGTTTCAAATTATTGTGAACATCTGGTTTTAGAAGTTTCTCTGGGGTAAATGTGTTGTTCTGGAGGTTTCTAAAAGGCACAAAATGTGGCAGAATGTTACACATTTTACATTTATCTCCGTTTTTCCGACTCCGTCTCTCTGATTGGTTAATCTGGAGTTTAAATTAGACAAAAAAAAAAACAAAGAAATTGTTCAATTCTAAAAAAAATACAACAAGCTGATCTGAAAGCAACAGATGACATCTGATTGGCTGATCAGTGTCTTTCTGGTGTTTCTAAATCTCTGTAACAATGAAAATATTCAGCCACTACATTCTCCATCTAACTCGACTAAGCTGGCGTTTAGAAATCCTGCTCAGAGCGAGTCATTTACACAATTTAAATTGATAAACAGGGTCTGCTTCTTTGATGTCACCAACTGGTGTTTATAAGTTCTGCTTGAAACGTTATACATGACTCCGGTTCGCGGTGACAGCTAACAAATACTGACTGGAGATTTATAAAGAGCGTTCACAAGCACCAACTTATTTACAGTGTTTATAAAACAGACTGTGAATAAGCAGACAAATCCTGTAATCTGTCTAAAGAAACCGTCTGTTTGCACTGCAATCCTCATCAATCAATCAGTCAATACTTTATTAATCCCAGAGGGAAATTAGAGTTTCAGTACACACAATTCAGAGATCAGACATACATGGGCAAGACACATGACAAGAATTGGTGACTGTGGTCATTCGCAACCCGAGTTGCGCTACCTTAATAGAGATAAGAGGGTTACATGAGGATTGGTTCAGGTGGAGGGAAAAAAAGGCACTTCAGAGTTACCCTCCACTGGGAGGGCAGCTTTGCTCTGCAAAAAAAAAACACCTCAACAGATATGCAACAGACTTCAGACAACACAACATAACATGAGACTCCAATAGGAAGCTGGGGGGGTGGGGGGAGCAGCCATCTGGCGCTCATCTACTGTACAGTCACAGGTGGGAGGGAGATCTTGGGAGAAGCAAAGAGCACATTGACTCCTACAGCTGATGGCCTCGCCAGGCTGAAGTCCACCAATCCGAAGGCGGTGGGGGGGAGCTCGGGTTTTCACAGCATCTGTCTGCATGCCTTCGTGGGGGTTTTAGTTGCTTGCAGCTCAAGGCCGCCAGGGCGTCAGATTCAGATAACAAGACTTTGTTTGGTTCAGGCTGAGATCATTTTGCTCTCTGCCTTCAGTCTTTAAACTGATCATTTCCAGTCCTTCAGTGAAGCCAATTTTGGGTTTTTAAACCTGTCCATACCGTCCGGTGACTCTCTCCGAGAGGACACTTTCCATTTTGCGCACTAATACTGCCTAGTTCATATTTCTCCATCTGCGGCAAAACAGAGGCACGCAACTGTCTGTTGAAGGCAGCAAAGAGTGGCAAAGACAACTTGCAGTGGACACGGAACCGATCGTGACCGAACAAGCACAAAGATGTGCGGCAAACTTTTTAGTCGTGGAAGGAAATTGGGAAAACGTGGGTTTGGAGGCGGTGGAGGAGAATTGGGGCAAATTTGTTGCAGTTAAAAAGTCTCTGAAATACATAAAACACAACAGTAAATACTCTATTCTGGACCAGAGACATGACTGCAAGGGTAGCAGCACACCCCCCGCAAAAAGCATTATGCCCTCTGGAAAATGTCTTGATCAATGAGTGTGTGCAACTCCTCACCCGAGCTGATGGAGCTGCATAAGTTAGGCTCAAGAATACATCAGAGGAGGATCGAACATTTACAGAAAGAATTGCTTAAAAGCGTGGAACACTCATTTAATTATTACATTTGCAGTATTCTCTAGTAGGAATATGTGCCTTGGAAAGGGGGGCGGCACAGGTGCACCATTTCCAGGAACTAGAAGCGAGCCACATCACTGCTGAGGTTCAGACAGCAGGTTTTGAAGTCATATTTCCTGACATTTGGGCATCTTGACTCGAACTGGATAACAGCAACGCGACTCTACCACCGACTCTGTTTGCTCTGCAACGTTGATGTTTCATCTCCAGAAATAACACAAGCCTGGAGGAAATGTGCTGTGTGGTGGTGTTTATGATGCTAACAATTAGCTTCTACTGACTGAGATGTTCTCTGCTGTTTCCTGGACGCTAAAACAACAACAACCTTCCCCGTCGTAAGTCAAGATGGGTGAGTGCATGACTGCTAAGTGACAGTGTGACGTAGATCTGTCAGGCTTTTCCAATCCTAGAGTTTCACCGTCTATTTTCTATCAGAAGCTAATGCAGGAGATACGTGTAGGAGACTATTTTGGTGTTCAGTCTGCATGAAAAACTCAGAGTGACCGATTATAGTCAGAAATAAGACTTGAAAAATGTTTTTTCAGTGTTCCACACCCTTAATGACGTGGATCTGAGTTGGAAAACCAGTCCGACACCGGCTCTAGCACTGGGACTTGATTAAGCCCATCGGAGGCCTAAACCTAACACATTATTAATCCTCACACGGTCAGATTTTCTTTGTAGGATTGTCAAAAACATGTTAGCAGATCTACCCCAAACCCCACCCTCAGGACAGAGCTAGACATCAGAACAGAAAAGGTCTTTTTTCTCTAAACACCGAACACCTCCCAAACTCTGCTTTAGAAAAGTAAAACTTGCAGTTTGGACTAATAACTGATTTGATGCAGATTCCATAAGCTGTCAAACTTTGAACTAAGAACAAATTCACACATTACAGCGAACGTAGAATATTTCAGGAAGCAAAGCATCAGCGTCTCTGCTGACAGCAAAGGCCTCCCATTGGTGCTCCAAGAGGAGGGGTGGGGCTTGAGGGATCCAGGTGAGGTGGTGTAGGGCATGCGGCGCATTGAATACAGTCTGACAAGAGAAACAAAAGGTTAATTTAAAGGTTGTTGTTCTGTTTGAACTTTTAAAAAGTATTTAAAGAGGTTTTAACAAGTCGAAAAATGATTTTAGGAGTTCTCACTTGCTGTGGTGGTTTCAGTTGTTGTGAGCATAGACTCCAGCGGGTCTGACGGAGCTGAGGATGGGTGACGATAGCGGATGGTGACCCGGTCTAATCGGTTTTGCTAAAACGCAGAAAAGATGATAAAAATGTTCAATAACTGATATAGTTTTGTTAGATCCTCTGTTTATTTCACTCATATAGGAACTTATGGCCTGGCCTGCCAGTCTCGTCCTCTGTTGTGCACAGAGAACTAGTCTGGTTACTCACAGGCGATGCTGTCGTTTTTTAGCTGCAGTCAAAAATGGAGTCTGGCGACGGCGCAACTTGTTGTGGTTTTAAAAACGTGTCCAAGTCATTTAGAACAGAGGAAACAGCTGCAGCGAACTCCGCTTCAGTCTTTGTTGTGGTGTGTGATGCACTCTGCTCAGCGCTGATTGGCTCAGTTAGAATTCTCAGGGGGTGGGGCTAAGAGTTCCCTGGTCAGGCTGTCGTTTTAACACCTTAATCTAACAGCTGAAACGTCTCTTCAGCCTTCATTAGTGTCTACAGGAGTGATTAATCTCTAAATTAAACAAATCAGTTGTGTTCACAATCTAAAACATGCAGAAAACGTGCTGGAACCAGACTGCAGCGCCAGGTATGTCAGCTCAATGTTTTTTTTTATGTCCCAACAGACCAGATGGCAGTCTGAAGCTGCGAGTGGCTCGGTGACATTTCAGTAAAATTAAAGTCCCACTGTTATCATCACATACTGGTGAAATTCATCTCCGCATTTGACCCATCCCAGTGGGGAGCAGTGAGCTGCAGCTGTGGCTGCACTCAGGAACTATTTGATGGTTTAACCCCTCAGTCCAACCCCTTAAAGCCGAGTGTCAAACTGGGAGGCATTGGGTCCCATTTTCTAAGCCTTTGGTGGGACCCGATTTACTTTAAACCCCAATTCCCCAGCCTCAGGGCGGACGCTCTACCTCTATGCCACTGTAAAGGGTCATTTGAGCACATGCTTGCTCAAGAAAATGATTAAAAATATGAAAAAGTTTCATAGTATCCCTTTAAAAAGAACAAACCCACAAACACAAAAGTTTGACTAAAATCAGCCAATCTTATATAAAAATCAAACTCACATAACATCAAAGTGAAATATTATTTTTAGCATTAATGACTGACTACATATGTGTTAAATGATCAATAAGATGTGATAATTCCATATAAATATGAAATATCAATCTGATTGATCTTTGCGTGCTTTATCAGAAGATTGTAGTTACTTTGTAGTTACTTTTACTTATTCAGGGACCATTAACACACTTCATATTAATTCAGACAGAGTCAAGTTTAGTTTATAAAAGTGAATTTGTTTCTAATTCCCTAAACTAATGATTATACAAGACAAGGTATGAATGAAATGATGGAATATAATGGATGGGGTGATCGGATGTAATGGATGAAATGCTGGAATGTGAGCTAGATGTTTTAGCAAAACCTTTCTTAAGTATCTGAGAGAGTTCGTGGAGTCTGGGTTGTAAAATCAGTTTGGCTGTGTGGTTTGATGAGCTAGAGATTTGTTTGGAAAACCATCCGATGCAATTTGTGCCGAGTCTACGCACCCTTGTGTGAAGAGTACTCTGATCTACCTTGGGGGGTACCACAGGGCTCGATATTGGGACCTTTGTTGTTTTCTATTTACATTCTGCCCTTAGGTGACATCTGTCGTGAGCTTGGAGTTCAATTCCACCTTTATGCTGACGATTGTCAGCTGTACCTGCCTCTTAACACGTCAAGTGGTCTCTCTATTTCTACTCTTACAAACTGTTTGAGGGAGATCAAGACCTGGATGACTGAAAATTTTCTGAGCCTAAATGATCAGAAAACAGAGGCTATATTGTTTGCTCCAAGCAGACATTGTGACTCTTCCCTAACTGACTGTGGGTCATTTAATGGCCAGCTGACTACATCGGTGACTAATCTTGGTGTTAAACTGGATAGCGCCCTTAGTTTTAATAACCACATCAATGGAGTGATCTCCTCCTCCTTTTTCCACCTTCATCGGCTGGCAAAGATCAAACCGTTTTTGTCACGTCATGATCTTGAGACGGTAGTCCATGCTTTTATTACGGTGCGATTGGACTACTGCAACTCTGTTCTATTCGGTGTGAGCAAGAGCTCAATAGCCAGGTTGCAAATGGTCCAGAATGCTGCTGCCAGATTTTTAGAAGGCAGGCGCAAGTTTGACCACATAACTCCTGTCCTGGCTGCGCTTCACTGGCTGCCCGTTGATGTTAGGATTCATTTTAAAATACTTTTACTACTTTTTAAAACGTTAAATGGTTTGGCCCCTCCTTACTTGGTGTCACTACTTCAACCATACAGCCCTTCACGGTTACTCCGCTCGGAGAACCTCATGCTCCTCTCGGTCCCAAGAACGCATCTAAAGACGCGTGGTGATAGGGCCTTTGCTGTGGCAGGTCCTAAGCTTTGGAATAAGATTCCTCTCAGCATAAGGGCCTCCACCTCTGTTGCGGTTTTTAAGACAAGGCTAAAAACATATTTTTATGACCTGTCTTTTAACCTTCCTAACTAGTTTTATTGTTTTACTTATAGCGATTTTACTCATTGTATTTTTTATCTGTATCGTGTGATACAATGTTTTATTTTCTGGACTTAATGTTTTATGTTTTTATTTGATCAGTGTAGCGCCTTGGTGGCATCTTTTTGCCTGTAAGGCGCGATTTATAAATAAAGTTGAGTTGAGTTGAGTTGAAGATTCCGGTGTGATCCAGGGGGTCAAGAGGTCAGGATACACACTGCTGGTGGAGTGAACCTCTAGGTACCAGGAACTCATAGATTAGCTCCGTCACAACCCGTCCATTTTTCAAACATTTTACAATTTAACCACCTTGTTCATTCAACACATTTGATTTGATTTCAACCTATAAGTTGTAAATTCATTTATAAACTCTAAAGGGACTTTACGGAGTTTTGAATTTTTATGCTCGCGATTGCCCCCTCAGGCCAAAAGTGTAACGGCAGCTTCAATAGTAGGCTCGTGCACGAGGCGCGCATGCTGTACGTGCACACTCCTTAACGAAAATAACAGCTGAGACAGTCCCTTGTGTGTGTGTGTGTGTGTGTGTGTGTGTGTGTGTGTGTGTGTGTGTGTGTGTGTGTGTGTGTGTGTGTGTGTGTGTGTGTGTGTGTGTGTGTGGGGCCCGGAGGACAGAGGACAGGAGAACGCGCAGCTAATTAATTAAATAATTTGGTTCTGTACCTTTCTCTTCAGCACAGCTGACAAAGGTTTATGATGGGTCAGTCCTCCTGCATGCTCAGATCATTCCCTTCCCTTGCTTGAAAAATTGTTCCAAAATGAAAGTTGAACCCACATCTTTTTTATCTGTGAATTCAATGCCGTTCGGCGAGTCTCAAATAAAAATTTGGGCATCTCACTGTAAAAAAAATATACCATTAATGTAAAAAATAAACTCTAAATAAACTATGTTCACACCCAGAATCAAACCCAGGTCTACTGCGTGGGAGTCAGGCATCTTACAAGGTGAGCTACACTCTAGTGGCATTCACAGTATCTGTAACATTTATATCCTTGATGACAGCTGAAACAACGTCAAACCAAAGAACGGTTCGGAGTGAAAATGGCTATTTTGTTGCTAATTTGCAGGAAAAATCTAGAAGAAAGTTCTACAGAAAGTAGCTAAGGGTCCTCAGAAATGTAGCTAGCTTTGTCACTAGGCGTTAGGAACAGCGACAAAGTGGCACTGCCTCTCTCTCTGCTGCTAAAGCTACGGATAGCAAATGCTACGGGCGATGCCTGAGCGTGAACGCGCATGAAGCAGCCTGCTCGACCCGAGCATCTCTCTTTTTCTGTGATTTTACAGAAAAACAGGCAATCACAGTAAAAATGCCAGGGCTCATTCTACAGGACCAGGGCATTGCAGGAGAATGTATGAAGAAGACATTTATTATTTCTATACATGTTTTGGCTGTCAAACTTCCATAATGCCCCTTTAAGGAAGATGAACTTTATTTAGAGTGAAGATGCAGGAGTCTCGCCTGAGACCGTGAGCAGTGTTATCATGGCTTCTCTGACTGGTTGCACAAATCCCTGTTTTTCTTTCTCGGAGGCCAGACAGATGTAATGCGTCCCTTAATACGTGACGCAGTTTGTGGCTGCAAATTAAGTTAATTTCTGTTCATGTTGATGAATACTTGACCATTGGTACGCTACATATTCATAATCTTATAAAACATTGTTTCAGTTTTATAGTGAATAAAATTGAACCAGGTATGCACCCCTTCTTTTTTATTTTAAAGCATTATTTGAAATTTATATTTAAAATCATCAGCTAGACCATCCCTTAATGTTATTGAGATAGACATTAAATTTACACATTTTACTGAATTAAACCTGTGAATGTCAATATGTTTGGCTTCCTAATCAGACTGTAGTCATTAGGGCTGCACGATATTAGGAAAACCCGTGATATGCGATAACAGTGATTAATATTGCGATGACGATATTACTTGCGACAAATAAAAACTTAACTCGGGAACCAAAATAATCAAAAACAGAAAAAAATTCTAAAATGACTACAAAAATCATAAAAATGAGAAAAGCAAAAGAAGTTAGGAAAGGGAAAAAGAAAATGAACAAGAAAAGGGAATCAGTGGATCCCAGGAAAAGCAGAATCAGCAGAAAGAGCAGGACAAAGCTAACTCAAGGGAGTAAAGGGAGAGGGGACATTTTGTTACTACTATTTTCAATTTTTCTTTTTTTCTTACTTAACCTTATTATTATAATTTTTTTGGAACCCCCCAAGGAGGTTTACAACAAAATCAGTCATTCACACACTGGTGGGGATGAGCTACAATGTAGCCACAGCTGCCCTGGGGCGCACTGACGGGGGCGAGGCTGCTGAGCACTGGCGCCACCGGTCCCTCCGACCACCACCAGCAGGCAACGTGGGTTAAGTGTGTTGCCCAAGGACACAACGACAGCGACAGACTGAGCGGGGCTCGAACCTGCATCCTTCCGATTACGGGGCGAGCGCTTAACTCCTGTGCCACCGTATTAGTTGACTGTATTATGCTTTATGTGTCAAACGGGGGTAGGATTTAATAAGCATCAGCTTCCTCCTACTCCTTTTCAAACAGAATATGGTCATTTAATTTTTGTGTGATTATCAGTGTGATTTTGTTTTTAATGTCTACAATTACTTTATTATTATTATTATGTTCGAAATAAAGATTTCATTCATTCATTGTGCAAGCCGACATCGCAATAATGATATATTTGCAATATATTGTGCAGCCCTAGTAGTCATGTTCTCCAACATTAGTTCTTATTATGAAATTTTAATCTAGTTATTTTTTTATTCCTAACAGAAAAAGTTTGTTAATTTTGTGTTCATGAAATTTAGGTCAAATAAAAAAAACTGACAAAAACTGTATAGAGATTCAACTTTTCTTTCTCTCATTATCAAAAATCATAAATGTTGGATTTTTTCTCATAAATATTATTTTTTATTTTTAACGTATAACTTCTGAAGGTAAAACAAAAATCAAGAGCGGTCTCAAAGGTGGATTCTTGATCTGATTTTCAGATCCTCTCAGAAGCAGATGTGTTGATGGAGGTATTGAACAAACGGAAAACCCTGAAGAAGAGAGGGGATCGTGGAGGGCTCTCTAAAAACAAAACCACAGAAGAAGAACTGCTGAAGACAACAGAGAAGAAGGAGGAAGTTCACCAATCTGTGCTGAGAATCCTCTCCTGGCCATGTTCTTGGCTCGGACGGCCTCTTTGATGCGGTCCACCTCCTGCTGGTAGCGCTTGCGGTCCCTCATGGCGTTCTCCTTGGCCTCTTTCAGAGCGTTCTCCAGAGCTTTGACCCGCTCGGCCGTGGCTCGTAGACGTTTCTCCAGTTTCGGAAGCTCACAGCGAAGGTCTGCGTTGTCTCGGACCAGCTGGGGAAAAGCATTTCTCACGTTCATGATCAGAATTGAGCAGCTCTAATTTTGCTTCAACAAATCCCATCAGTGGTTTTACCTGCTTGTGGACCTTGGTGAGCTGCTCCAGGTTGTTCTCCAGGAAGGAGATCTTCTGTTTCTGAGCCGCGTTGCCGAGCCCCTCCTCACAGTCCAGCTCTGCGCTCTGAAAGCAGAGCCGCATCGTCAGAAAAACACCAACCAAACGTCAACGTTCACCCAAGCGCAGCGGTACCTTCTTGACCCGAGCGGTGAGGTCCTGCACAAAGAGTTTGCGCAGGTTGTGTAACGTCTGCAGCTCCTTCGCCTGAAACAACACGAAGAAAGTAGAAACGTTTTGCTTTGAGGTTGATCCCGAGGAAGACAGGAGCTGTGAAGAGTCACTGGCTAGGGATGAGCCGTATCCTGTATGGATAAAGCATTTTTGACGAGTATGAGCATGAAACGAGTAAAACTCGTAAATATCTGTAATCGTGCTGAAGGAAAATCCTCATTGGTTAACTGACCGTCTTCACGCTCTGTGATTGGCCAGTCAAATAGAGCGCCCGCCCCTCCCTACACACAAAACTGCAGCGGGAGCTCAGTCTGGCCCACACACACACACACACACACACACACGCACGCACGCACGCACACACACACACCCACACACACACACACACACACACACACACACACACACACACACACTCACACACACACACACACACAGTAACGGATCTCTGTGCTTGCTTCACTGTTCACGTTTCTTCAGTACTCCCTATGTTTTCTTCAGTTTGCTTCTTTTTAAAGTTACTTTAAAGTTATTTAAAGTTACTTTAGTCGTAACGTACGTGGTGCATTTGGCAAGACAGAGCTGAAAACGGCTCGTGCTGCGTCAGTCACTGCCTCCGCTCCGGTCGGGTTTTTTTCCTCTCTCTCTCATCTTCCTCAGGATCCACTTCCTCTTTCCTATTCACTCTCTCTTTCTTTACATTTTTAATCACAATTGTCTATTTATTGCTCATTTTAAATATATTTTAATCATTTTCTAAATTCTTTTTTCTGTTTTACACGTTTTGTTTTTGTGAAGCGCCTTGTGATTTTTATCTTGAGAAGCGCTATAGAAAACATCTCTCTCTCTCTCTCTCTTAATTCATGCACTTAAAAATTAATGTTCTGATTTTAATGAAAAACTTGTTCTGTAATAGTTTCTTTACTATTGTGATCAAAAACATTTAATCTCAACTCTGAGGCTGCTCTGTAAACAGTTTTCAAATAAACAACACACATAGCAACTTCTGATCAGACTTAAAATAACGTATTGATGTAAACCACACCCACTTCCGGTTAAACTACACACACTTCCGGGTTAGGCCACGCCCACTCCGAGTACAGATACAGATAGTGGTGTACTCGCTCATCCCTATCACTGAGTCTGACACCCACCACCGTCTCCTCCAGACCCTTCAGGTCTTCTCTGGCCTGGTCTCTGTGTTCATTCAGCAAACTGGAGACAAAACCCAAACATCAGAAATGAAAGACGGAGAGCTCCTCATCCTGGATTATCTCTGACGGCATCCATAACTGTTTAACGGCTCCTACATGAGATTCTGGAGCTTTGCATCCTTCTCCCGCTCCTCGGACTTGAGTTTTTCGTAGTCGGACACGAGTCTCTCCTGCTCGAGCAGCAGACCCTGGTTGAGACTGAGACAGAGAACGGAATCAGTCACGTTCTTTAAAGGAGCTAGCAGAAACCACTTGTGTGTGTTTACTCTGTGAGTTCATCCAGCATCCTCTGCTTATCTTCTATGTCGTCCCGAAGGCGGCCGAGCTGCTTCTGATGTGCCTCCCTGTGGCTCTCCAGCTGCTCCTCCAGAGTCTTCTGGAGCTGGACATAAAAACAACCATCAGACGCACAGAATCACCCCAGAACCACACAGTCTGAGGCCTGCTGCTTGTCTCCACCTTCTCGTCTCCATCCAGCCTGTTGGTGTCCTCCTCCTCTGACACCTCGTGCCTTTTTTCTGGAGAGAAACCAAAACCGTCTTTCTGAAGTTGAGCTAAAGCTCGTGGTGGAGATGTTTGTGCTGTTGCGTACCCACCCTGAGCCTGGAGCCTGGTGAGCTCTTCACTCAGCGCGTCTTGGCTCTCCTCCAGCTGCCTCTTCTTCTGCTCCATGTTCTGCATGTAGTCGGTCAGCGACTTGATCTTGGCCTGGTGCTGCCGGGACCACGGAACACTCAACTCAAAAAAAAAAAAAAAACACCGGCAGCACGAGTGAGGACACTGTTTGATGGTTACCTGGGAGACGAGCAGCTGACAGGATGCTAGCTCCCTCTCATTGGCCTGTATCTTACGGTGGGCGTCGGCCTGAGTGCTCTCCAGCTGCTTGCTGCGATTCACCAGAGATTTGACCTCTGACTTCATCTTGCTGATGTAGAGGCGAGCGACAGTGAACTCCTCCTCCACCGCCGACCCGTTCCCCTTCGTCTCTGAGGTCTGAGAGACGAGGAGGAGCCGTTAAACAGAGTGTCTGGATTTAAATATCTTGGTGCTGGAATGCTGAACGATGGCGTCCGTGTGCTCACCGAACCCGTCTTGATGTCACCCGCGCCGATGATGGCACCGATGTCATTGAGGTCCCTCAGCAGCAGGTTGAGGACCTCGGCAGCCCGCTTCCTCTGCAGACTGTTCAATTCCTGCAGCTGACTCAGCTCTCGCTGCACCACCGACAGAAGTGCCTGCAGACAACGGAGTACCTGGATTGTTCTGATGCATGATGGGAAATGTAGTCTCGGAGCAGGACTTACTGTTTTCTGCTGCAGCTCCTCGCCCAGTTGCTGGTTGGTCTGCTCACGCACCTCCACCTCCTGGCTCTTCTGGTCATAGTTAACAGCCAGCTCCTCCAGCGCCTGCAGCACCTCCTTCACCTCCTCCTTCGCCAGATCGTTCTCCATCTGCAGCCGGCACAGCTCCTCCTGGATCTTCTCGAAGTCGCGCCGCGTGGACGCCAGCAGCTGCAAAGGCAAGACACTTTAAAAGTGTTCTAACAGAAGAAAGGATGAGTGTGAAGCCAAAGTGACAGACCTCCTCCTGATCCATCATCTGCTCCTTTAGTTTCTCTGCCAGCTGACTCTGCTGGTTGATTTCATCGTCCTGCAGGAACAGAAGAATTAAGGTTACTCCCTTGCTACGTTACAAAGAGGATCCTGATCCTCCTCGGGCCCACCTTGTCATCCAGCTGTCTGTACAGGTTGCTGACGTCCTCCTCATATTTGCTCCTCTCCTCATTTATCACTGGGACGCCTCCTCCAGCTGGCAGCAGGTTATCGATGATAGGAGTGTTGTCATTCTGCTCGATGCCGTTCTGACCTTTAGAGCTCAGCTGCTCCTCCCGAGGAACGCTTTCCCCTGGAGTAAGCACACATCGGTCAGACTGTCCTCCAGTGGCTGTTGTCTGGAAGCCTAAAGCTCCGCCGTGCCAAATACTGTTGTCTCTCATTAACGTAGGATTTTGGTGTAATTAAAGCAGCAGTAAACATTTTTAACACTTTAAGCTACTCTTTCAAATGTGGGTGCGTGGAAACGTTTCCAACTTCACCTCGAACGCAGCTATGCGGTCCTCTACTGGCCAGATATGGCACTTAACAGTTTATAGGTGTTCTATAGGGGGCATTCCTTGCCTGCTTTACGGCTGTCATGCTAGCAGTTAGCATTTTCATTTTGCCAATAGCCAATAAAAAGCACAAGAAGACAAAAAAAAGAAGTTTGCTCTTTCTGTCGGCATCAAGGCGGAGCCAGGAAGTAAACGTAAGAGAGTAATGTCTTTGGAGGTGAAGCAAAGAGCTAAAACCGGAGTGAACATCAGTGTGGTCTAGAGTGAGGAAGTTCGAAATCTGGGTGTTGTGATTGATGAACACCTGGCCTTTAAAGATCATGTTACCTCTGTTGCTCATTCATGCCGCTTTGCGCTGTATGACATACGAAAGATCAGACCATACCTAACACAACATGCCACCCAGCTCCTGGTGCAATCTACTGTCATCTCCCGCCTCGATTACTGCAACGCCCTTCTAACTGGTCTTCCAGCCTGTACTGTGAGACCTCTTCAAATGGTTCAGAACGCAGCGGCGCGTCTGGTCTTCAATCAGCCAAAAAGAGCACACGTCACCCCTCTGTTCATTGAGCTCCACTGGCTACTGCTGGCAGCACGCATCAAATTCAAATTGCTAACACTAGCATACAAAGTCCGAGATGGTACGGCTCCCATCTACCTGAATCCTCTTGCAAAGGCTTACGTCTCGGCCCGGCCCCTCCAGTCATCACAGGATCGTTGGCTAGCAGTGCCTACACCACGCTCAGGACAATCCAGACTCTTCTCATGCATCGTTCCACAAATGTGGAATGACCTTCCAAGCACTACCAGAACAGGAGCTTCCTTTTCAATTTTCAAGAAACTCCTGAAGACCCTGCTCTTCAGAGAGCATCTTCTAAACTAGCACCCTCCCTGCACCCATCCCCCCTCTCTACTGTCCACTCCTTGTTCCCTCCTCTCCATGACTGATGTCAAGTTGTTGTTATTGTTGTTGTTAGCCTCAAGGGCAACATGCCGATTATCACTTGTAAGTCGCTTTGGACAAAAGCGTCTGCTAAATACATAAACATAAACAAGTATGAGGAAGTTAAAGGAGGCTACAAAATGACAGACTGATGGTGACCTGGCTTTGTTGCCACTGGACTTGTGAGTAAAATATTTATGTCCAACAGTGTGATTTTGGTTGGCTCTAGGACAGTGGTCCTCAATAGGTGGCCCATGGGCCTCCTCTTTGTGGCCCCTGACCCTGACCCCCCCTACCCCCCTCCACACACACACACACACACACATTTTTTTTTTCATTGGGATGTTGATTTTAATGGAAAGTTAATTAAAATTAAGCTTAACTAGATTAAAAAATGTTACTGGCACTTTTACTGTTGATGCTTAGATGCTTCAGATTTAAGGAATACCTCGGCTGATGCAGAGCTGATGAACTTTTCACGGACAAGTAAGTCTCTAAAATATAAATATACGAAAACACAGCGTGACATGAGAATAATACTCGTGAAACAGCGTGTTTTAGATGTTTGTCGGCTACAGAAGCACATTTATAAACAGACATCGTTTCAGACGAGTATCCGGTACGGATAAAGCATTTTTTGACGAGTAAGAGCATGAAACGAGTAAAACTCGCGAATATCTGTATCCGTGCTGAAGGAAAATCCTCATTGGGTAACTGACTGTCTTCACGCTCTATGACTGAACATTCACATAGAGCACGCGCCCCACTCTCTACACGAAAAACCAATAGACGGCCCACAGCTGCTGCTAACCCTTGTCAGAATTTTAACCGATGTCGACAAATGGCGATGTTATGGTGATTGAATCTACGACATCTATTACTGTCTTAATATCTGTCAGAGTAACCCTACAAAACCATTTTTGTGTCCTCCAACATCAGTGGACCGTGGCGGCCATCTTGGTTTGAATCCAAAAGTGAATCGGTGGTAGATGAACGCGGTCAAAGGAAAATTTGAGTCAAATCAGCCCAGAAAGCAGGTTGTTGGCTGAGTTTGGTTAGGGTTACCGTTCCTCCAGCGGTTCAGTTCAGCCTCCAGCTTCTGGATGATGGATTTCAGATTCTTGTTTTTCTCCTTCTGCTTCTCATATTTCTTCTTCCACTCTTCGGCTGTCAGCTCCAGGTTTACAGACACTGTGTTCTTAATGGTCTTCGCTCTAAAAAAAAAAAAGACAAACCTCCAGTCCACCTTATGTTGTCTCCTTTGCTGCTGCTGAAACTCCAAGTTTCAATAGAAGATGCTAGAATCAAGAGGAACAGCAGACTGTTGTTGGGTTGGATGGTAGCATCCACAATAAGGCAGCTCAGCAGGGATCTATCAACGGGAATAAATGTGTATGCTCAGTGGGAAACCCACAGCCAGTAATCCTCATCACTTACTGACTCGGGAAGCTGAAACTGCAGATTATTTAAATGGGCATTATGGACGTTTGACAGCCAAAACATGTATAGAAATAATAAATGTCTTCTTCTTACATTCTCCTGCAATGCCCTGGTCCTGTAGAATGAGCCCTGGCATTTTTACTGTGATTGCCTGTTTTTCTGTAAAATCACAGAAAAAGAGAGATGCTCGGGTCGAGCAGGCTGCTTCATGCGCGTTCACGCTCAGGCATAGCCCGTAGCATTTGCTATCAGTAGCTTTAGCAGCAGAGAGAGAGGCAGTGCCACTTTGTCGCTGTTCCTAACGCCTAGTGACAAAGCTAGCTACATTTCTGAGGACCCTTAGCTACTTTCTGTAGAACTTTCTTCTAGATGTTTCCTGCTAATTAGCAACAAAATAGCCATTTTCACTCCGAACCGTTCTTTGGTTTGACGTTGTTTCAGCTGTCATCAAGGATATAAATGTTACAGATACAAAAGACATCACTGGCGCTTTAGCTCACCTAGTAAGACGACAGACGCTCGTGCAGAAGACCTGGGTTTGATTCTGGGTGTGAACATAGTTTATTTAGAGTTTATTTTTTACATTAACGATATATTTTTTACAGTAAGATGCCCAAATTTTTATTTGAGACTCGCCGAACGGCATTGAATTCACAGATAAAAAAGATGTGGGTTCAACTTTCATTTTGGAACAATTTTTCAAGCAAGGGAAGGGAATGATCTGAGCATGCAGGAGGACTGACCCATCATAAACCTTTGTCAGCTGTGCTGAAGAGAAAGGTACAGAACCACATTATTTAGTTAATTAGCTGCGCGTTCTCCTGTCCTCCGGGCCACACACACACACGCGCACACACACACACACACACACACACACACACACACACACACACACACACACACACACACGGGACTGCCTCAGCTGTTGTTTTCGTTAAGGAGTGTGCACGTAGAGCATGCGCGCAGTGTCAGTTCCAGAAAAGTTTTTCTGCAGGTGCTATGAAGGAGCTAGTCCTTTTATTGAGGGTGCTATGAAGGAAGTGGTCATGCGTACCTATTGTTCTCTAAAACACCTTCAACACTAGCAGATACACATGCGTGCACAAACCTCAACAACACCTGAAACAATCATTAATATACATCATAAACATGTGAACAATCGCTGACTTTTCCATGAAATCATAAACACATACAGAAAACCATCTATAGTGTTGCAAGGTTAGCTAACGTTAGTGTTAGCATTTCCAGCGGCAAAACCCTGGACTGCTGCGGCGGTTGAGGGTTGACTCTCTTCATCCAGATCCGTAGGTTTTTGTGGGTCTGAGATCACTTCCAAAGATTCATTCGTTTCTGACTGAACCCGTGGAAATATGGGCAACAAAAACCGATCCATTTTACCACTAGCTCTACCTTTCACTCGTTCACAGGTGGAAAATGAGGTCAAAGGTTAACATCATTTTCCTGTTTTGGTTTAAGTTTTTACCATCTATATGATAATTTACTGATTATTTTTGTTTTGTATGTTAAATATTATCACATCCACACGTTAAATTACAATAAAATTGTAAAAAAATAAATTATCTAATATTTACTTGGGGGTGCTATGGGGGTGCAATGACTAATCCAGGGGTAGCTTTAGCACCCCCTAGCGCCCCCCTGGCGCCGCCACTGCATGCGCGCCTCGTGCACGAGCCTACTATTGAAGCTGCCGTTACACTTTTGGCCTGAGGGGGCAATCGCGAGCATAAAAATTCAAAAGTCCATAAAGTCCCTTTAACAGTCGGTTTGATTGAAATCAACTGATAATCTTGATAAACTCACCTTTCAGCTTACTGAGCATAAAAGCTAAGGATTCCCTATGTTAGGGGTTAAAGTACTCTTTCCTGCTCAACAGTTTTCTTTTGCATGTTTTAACATTGAAAAAATGGATGAATCAGTTTAAAGGAGGCTACATTTTTAATAAATCTGCAGTGGTTTCTTGCATAAATGAATTATTTGAGAGTCCGTTTCTTTACGACAAACAGCTTTGCATGGCGCTCTTGTTTCAGGAACTGGAAGCAGTAAAGAACGGAGGAGTACCTCTGTCCGAACATCAGCGTGGACTTGGTCTCGGCCTCGTTGTAGACGGACGGCGAGCAGCAGATGATGATGGTGGTGCGGCAGTTTCCTCCCAGGGAGTCCTGCAGGATCCGAGTCATCTTACTGTCTCTGTACGGGACGTGGGTTTTCTGCAGGTGGGTTAACACACCATCAACCAGCACCGGTAACAGAGCCAGGGCACATTTACCCACGCGTGTCACTTACGGTTCCTTCAGCCAGAGCCGAGATGACGTTTCCCAGCGCTGACAGAGACTTGTTGATGTTCTTTGCCTCGTGCAACACCGCTCCCTCAGCTCCGGTCTTACTGACCTGTTCATTAACACCTTCTGTAAATCAGAAAGCTCAGCAGCTTTAGATGAATCGATCCTTCTGATGGAACTCAGACCAACCTTCTCGCTGCCAGCCAGGTCCACCAGGTACAGCTTCCCCGACAGCTTCTTCTCCGTTTCCACATTTTCCTGCTTGATGTTGATGAGGAAGATGCTGTGGCTGCGGGAGCTGTGTTCGTTCATGTCTAAGAACCGACATGTCATTAGTTTAATCCCATCACGGACACAGGAGCTTGTGATACGACACGATACCAATAATATCACGATGCAACGGTCTTATGATGGTTCATCGTTTACATTCCATGCGTCGTGGTAACTTTATTTCCACCGCACTCTGTGAGTTCCTCTTAATCACAGGCGCTGCGCCCCCACATGGAGCCCTGGAAAGCCTTTTCTAAACCGACCACAGCTGCAGCCTCACAGCAACAATCTGGCTAGAATACCAGCATTCAGTGATAAGTGCTAAAACGCTGGAGGAATATAGTAAAGACCTGAAAATCATCCACCTGCTGTCTGGACAACCTGCCAACTTACTTCTTCAAAGATGTTTTTAGCTGCTTAAAAGCTGATGTACTGAAAATGGTTAAATGTTCACTAATGTCAGTCCTCTTGGTTGCTCTTCCTTCTTCCATCTCAGGAACGTTGCTAAGCTGGGTCCCATTCTGTCCCGCTCTGAACTTGAGACAGTTCTCCACACCTTCATCTCCTCACACTTAGACTACTGTAACTCTCTTTTCACGTGTCTGAGCAGAACCTCCCTGAACCGTCTACAGGTGGTTCAGAATGCCTGTGCTCGGCTTCTGACCAAGTCCTCCAAACACACCCACATCACCCCGCTTCTCCTCCAGCTTCACTGGCTTCCAGTCAACTTCAGGGTTCATTTCAAGATCCTGGTTCTGGTCTACAGGTGCTGGCCAGTAAATTAGAATATCATCAAAAGGTTGAAAATATTTCAGTAATTCCATTCAAAACGTGAAACTTGTACATTATATTCATGCAATGCACACAGACCAATGTATTTCCAATGTTCATTACATTTAAATTTGATATTCATAAGTGACAACTAATGAAAACTCCAAATTTGGTATCTCAAAAAATTAGAATATTCTGAAAAGGCTGAATATAGAAGACACCTGCTGCCACTCTAATCAGCTTATTTACTCAAAACACCTGCAAAGGCCTTTAAAAGGTCCCTCAGTCTTGTTTTGAAGGCACCACAATCATGGGGAAGACTTCTGACTTAACAGCTGTCCAAAAGACAATCATTGACACCTTGCACAAGGAGGGCAAGACACAAAAGGTGATTGCTAAAGAAGCTGGCTGTTCGCAGAGCTCTGTGTCCAAGCACATTAACAGACAGGCGAAGGGACGGAAAAAATGTGGTAGAAAAAAGTGTACAAGCTCTAGGGATAACCGCACCCTGCAGAGAATTGTGACGACAAACCCATTCAAAAATGTGGGGGAGATCCACAAAGAGTGGACTGCAGCTGGAGTCAGCGCTTCAAGAACCACCACGAGGAGACTCATGAAAGACATGGGATTCAGGTGTCGCATTCCGTGTGTCAAGCCACTCTTGAACAAGAAACAGCGCAAGAAGCGTCTTGCCTGGGCCAAGGACAAAAAGGACTGGACTGATGCTGAGTGGTCCAAAGTTATGTTTTCTGATGAAAGCAAGTTCTGCATTTCCTTTGGAAATCAAGGACCCAGAGTCTGGAGGAAGAGCGGAGAAGCACAGAATCCACGTTGCATGAGGTCCAGTGTAAAGTTTCCACCGTCAGTGATGGTGTGGGGTGCCATGTCATCTGCCGGTGTTGGCCCACTCTGTTTCCTGAGGTCCAGGGTCAATGCAGCCATCTACCAGGAAGTTTTAGAGCACTTCATGCTTCCTGCTGCTGACCAACTTTATGGGGATGCAGACTTCACCTTTCAACAGGACTTGGCACCTGCACACAGTGCCAAAACCACCAGCACCTGGTTCAAGGACCATGGTATCCCTGTCCTTGATTGGCCAGCAAACTCGCCTGACCTTAACCCCATAGAAAATCTATGGGGTATTGTGAAGCGGAGGATGCAATACGCTAGACCCAACAATGCAGAGGAGCTGAAGACGACTATCAGAGCAACCTGGGCTCTCATAACACCTGAGCAGTGCCACAGACTGATCGAGTCCATGCCACGCCGCATTACTGCAGTTATTGAGGCAAAAGGAGCCCCGACTAAGTATTGAGTGCTATACATGCACATTCTTTTCATGTTCATTCTTTTCAGTTGGCCAACATTAGAGAAACAAACATTTTTTCATTGGCCTTTAGAATATTCTAATTTTCTGAGATACCAGATTTGATGTTTTCATTGGTTGTCACCTATAAATATCAAAATTAAACGTAATAAACATCGGAAATACATTGGTCTGTGTGCATTGCATGAATATAATGTACAAGTTTCACGTTTTGAATGGAATTACTGAAATATTTTCAACCTTTTGATGATATTCTAATTTACTGGCCAGCACCTGTATAGGGCCTTACATGGACAAGCACCATCTTACATTGGTGATCTTCTTAGTCCCTACACCCCCAGCAGGTCCCTGAGGTCCAGTGACCAAAGCCTACTGGTTGTGCAGCACCAGGCTAAAGGTCAAAGGTGACAGATCATTTGCTGCTGTGGCCCCCAGACTCTGGACCTCTCTCCCCCTGAGCCTGAGATCAGTGGACTCAGTGGTCTCCTTTAAAAAGCAGCTGAAGACTCACTTGTTCAAGCTGGCTTTTGTATGACCTTCTTCACCTCTCTCTCTTTATTCTGCTCTCCCCACCTATTCCACCTTCCTCAGGATCTACCGATTTCCCTCTTTCCTATTAACTCTCTCTCTTTCTGAACATTTTTTTAATCACAATTGTCCATTTTTGCTCATTTTAAATATATTTTTAAACATAACCTATCATAGTTATGCCGATGACACCCAGATCTACCTAGCTCTATCACCTAGTGACTGTGGTCCTCTAGACTCACTCTGTCAGTGTTTGGAGCAAGTAAATGACTGGAGGCAATCAAGATTCCTCCAGTTAAACAAAAACAAGACTGAAGTTCTTTATTGTCTTTGGAAATCAGAAGAATAGGACGGAGGTTCTTGCTCAGCTTGTCTCCAGAGGAATAAAGACAAAGAGCCAGGTTAGAAATCTTGGTATCATAACTGATTCAGAACTGAGCTTCACCAGTCATGCGTTTATTATACGTCTAATTCTTCAGATGCTTCTCCTCCCACTCATAATGTCCAGATCTGACTGGCCAAAATATAGTTTTTGAGTTTTGTGTTCGTTTGTCACAGCTGGCCTATCTGAAATTGAAGCAGTTGTCATATTTTGCAGGTTTGACGACGTATAAACTTTAAGCGTGCATGACTGAAGATGTTGGATGTTAGTTACCTAATATGGTTTAGGAAGAGCCTGCATATATAAAAGAGTGGGCATCTCTGACCCTCGGGGATCACCAGTCAAAATGTTTTAGTTGTTTCTCTGCTCCAACACACCCAGTTTAAT